GGTTTACTCAGGTAAATGCTGGTAGATTATACTTATTTATTCATTAAACTACTATTTTCGAGCAGGATAATTCCGTTTTATTATGTAAAGTACTTAGTCCTAAAAATATATACAGATACAATGTAAAAACATAACAAATCTAAAGAACTGATTTTGTGAATACTTGAAGCCCACTGCGTTCAAAAAACACAAATATGCATGGATGTGTTGAATAAAATTGCTCATTGTAATTGTAATAAAATTATAGAATGATTACGGGCAGTTTGTAGTACGCCTGGACTGTTGATAGTAGTGATACTCAAAAACTTGGAGGAAATATGGAATCTAGGGAAAATCTTTGCAATTATTTAAGGCGGATCGCCATGAAATATCCCCTTACTTAAGTGTTCTGTTGATACAAAAAAGTAATAAGCTTTTGAAAAAACGGGCTTTCTCATTATCACTGCATATTTTCTTTTATAATTAGATATAAAAAATATATAATTTAGATTTACAAATATGTTCAAAATTCACACTAACTATAGTCATATTTATTATAAATTATCTTCATTTTTACCTGTGTTACCAGTAAAACTAATGCGCGCAAATGTAATCAAAAGCTGCACGTAAACGTCAGAAAATGCAAATATAATGCGCTCATACCCCCAGGGTTGATTATAGAATATGGTCATCCATTTGACTCCCATTACATCACTGTGACTTGAATATAAGTGTTTCTAACCACCTTTTGCAGTTCATTCAAAATTCTGAACCACTTGCAATTTGTTTTAACAAACAAACTGCTATACAAGTAAGAATTTGTTTACCAACTGCTGAGAAGAAACACGGTCAATTCATCAAAGTGTAAAGTGATACAATAAAGCATACTTAAAATCCATTAAGATTTGAATTCAACTTTATGTCTATTATGAAAGTGTCGCTAAAAATTTCTATATATATCCATATGTATAGAGTCGTTTGAAAGGTGAGAGGTAATATTTTATGAGCTACCAAAAAAAATGTCCAAACTAATATTTCATACTATAATTCTTTTAAAAAGTCTTCTATATTTATAAGAATCAGATACCAGTTTGAATCTTAGCGAAGGAAATTAAACCTTTCCCATGTTTCCCCAGAACCAATTGTAGTTTACCTAACCATTTGGAATTTTGTAAATTGAACTATCCCATTGAATAAATACAAAAGCTATTATTATACTTCACGATAGAATGACAATTTGTGAATGGTCAATACGAGGGAGTATTTTACTCTTTCCTATGGCTCAGCGAGAGATAATTTTTAAAATGTCACCCTCTCTCTTGAACACCAATCAACAATCGATATTTTGAAAGACAATGAATTGAATTTACATAAATGGTTTTAAAGACAATGCTCGAGTTCTATTGTTCGGTCTCAGGTCTTTTTCAAAGAATGTCAACATAAAATATACATTTCGCTTCACTTTTGTTATGAGTGTAAGTTTGTTATGTACATGGAGTCATAGTTAATAACTTTCAATTCAAAATTTAAAAGACAACAAAGACATCACATTGAGTATAATAAATTAAATAACACATAACCGAGAGGGTGACGGAGCAGATTGTGAGACCTCGAAAAAACTTTGTTATTTATATTTTGTTCTCTTTGGAGTTTATTCAATGGGAACTTTAAATTTCTCCTTGAAACCAATCATATATTGGTTAATTTATCTGAACAAAACTTTCACACTCAGTGCTTAAAATACATGTACCATCACTAAATAAGAACACATAAAACTGCATGTGATGTTGTATTTATTCAATATCCACCAATCTTATAATGGTGTATTTCCCATTTAGTAATAGTGGAAAAAACTTAAATCAAAGATTAAAACCTCAATATTATAAATATTTGACTTAGACATAAAAGGTTAAATAGGGATCGAATTTACGTACATAAAGAGTAAGTCTTTGTTCGATTGTTTTTTAATAGACAAGTAATTTAGAATAAGTAAAGCCTCCCCTTTTCTGGAGATAGAACACCTCGTTACAAATAACGTTGTTTTAGAAATTTATCCCTATATTACTATTGGAGACAGACCATGGATTCTTTAACTGTGTGATATCCCCATTTTGGACTGCTGGATTTGCTAAAAATTGCTCATAGAATGAGTTCAAACCATGCAAACAACTTAATCATAGTACTACTACGATAATTTTAATACCAATTATTTTACAGCAAAAATATTAAAAAATAGTGGAGATACAACACTATAATAATATTTTTCTCTGAACTAACTAGATGAATAAGCTAATGTATATGTGGAGATAGAACAGTGTAGTTCTGACAAAAACTCGTAGGGTGTAGAAATCTCGTATTATAGGCGATAGACCATTGCACTTGGATATCAAATATAAGCTACCTCCATTTTTATCAAAAGTGGACATATAACACTATACGATTCACACGACGATTTCAGTGCGCTACTACACTGTATACGGAAATGTTGACCGCGTTGGCAATTTGCTATATCAGCCTCAAGTTCCATAAGAAATGATCTATTTTATTGCAATATGAACTAGTTTTTACAACATCGTCTTAGATTTTCGATAATTTTTACGAATGTTTTGTTTTTCAATGTGTTCAATAACACTGATTATAAACATGAAAAAAGAAAATTTCTGATATAAAAGTTTGCTATGTTCCAATGGGAATTGGTTTCTTCCAAATTATTTATTTTTTGTTTTGAACCAATGAAAACATGAAAATGACGATGATTATATTAAGGTGCAAATTATTAGCCTAAAGCCTGTTCTTCATCCATTCAATATGGATTAATTGTAAAGTTTGCATTTGAAGCACATCTTTGTAATTCAGATGCTCTAGAAACTTTGACAGAAGTTTTCTTATGTCTATACTCAGATGTATAAGTTACACCGCTTTCATAACAAAAATGTAAGGTTCTTCGATTCTTATTGCATATAAATTTAACAAATTTATCAAATTGAAACTGGATATCATCTTTTTGAATTTCAAGAGGTAAATTCTAATAGGTTTGAGAAAAAAGATCAAATGGGAGATAGTTTTAATGAATATATCCACAGTGTTTAAAAATGTACTCAAATTTTTCTAGAGTTATTCCATCTATAATCGCATCGCATAGTGCATCTTTTGGTCTTAATATTTGCTTTATCATTTGAAATAAATATTCTCATGTATTACATGTTAAGTTGAGGGTGAAACGAGGTTAATATTTCACGATAAGTCATACTGGTCAAAGTAGAGGTGGTAAGTAAGTGTTTACTATATGTGAATGATAAAACGCACAATTATTCATAAAAATTGTGTCATCAGGTACAAAAATGGGCTGCTGTCCTTTTGCTAGTTTATAATTATTGATATCAATAGCTTCAGCAAAAAAGTTTATAAGTTCCAAATTATTAGATGGTCTATCAATAACATTGAAATATCTTGAATATAACAGATTAATTGTATAGTTTGCATTTGAAGCACATCTTTGTATTTCAAATGCTCTCGAAACTTTGTCTGAAGTTTTAAAACTTCTATACTCAGATGTTTTTATTACACCGCTTTCATAACAAAACTGTAATGTTGTGGACTCTTAATCCAGATTAATGCATTCTTTTCATTTTAGTTCTTTTGAACTAGGGTGTCCCCCCTCATACATGGCCTCTCTTGTTTTCTCTTATAATCCATTCTTAAAATTCATGCGACTAACATGGACTTTAAACTGATTATGAAAATACAGATGATGGTATTGTTCACCTGTTTTAATGTTTGGTCCATATAACAGGTGTAAATATGTAAAACGATTTACCTTCATATGTGTCTATGCATACACATACAATCAAAACACCTCTATTGTAAATTTGGTCCTTCCAGTTTTTTATTTAAATATCAAATCTTAAGATCAAATTGTCGTTGATGTAGTTTGTTTGCATGAAAAGTAAAACCCTACACAATTTTTGTGCAAAAATAAGTTTTTAAATGATGACTTAAGACAACAGATTACAAGAAGTACGCATTCTCATTTAGTGAACGTGGATTTACCGATGTGAAACTATCTCTACAACTGAGACCAAAGAAAAGCATGTTTCCAGAAGAAAGTATGCCCATAGGTCATAGCAGAAAAACCTAAGATGCAGTCAAAAACTTGAAAACGGCCACAGCATAAAGAAACTGCAGTTATAACAACGAAACGTCCAGGGGAGATGATAAGTTTATCAAAGCTCCAAGAAAAATAGACTGAAAAACAAAAGGAACTGAATGAAAAGATAGGGAAAGCTCTAGCAGCTTAAAATAAGATTCACAAGTTCCTTCTCTTACCTGAATCTGAAGGACATGACAGTGCTAGGAATGCAACTTCAACAGGCAAAATAAATTAAGTCGGTTTAACGGTTCTGTTTAGGCCCATTTGAATTTAATATTTATAAACCTCTATGCATTCGGCTCCAAATCTTTTTTACCCAAGCACACCTGCAAACGAGTACTTAAAAACGACATGAAATTTGCACTGAAATCGGTGTCCTGTGTAAATATTACTTACCAACATGCACTTATTTACCTAAAAGGATTATATGTCCTAATATTCATCATTAAAGTTGCCCTAGAATATGCCAGATTAGAAGTATGAAATTGTGTTATTTGTTCTGATAGTAAATGAGTAAAAAGACCAAATCATGAAAGGGAGGCAAAACGTTAACACGATCAATTTGCTTTTTCAGCGACTTAAAATGTTAATAGGCTCTCGTAGTAACCATAATGGGGAATTGGCCAATTTCAAAATGTTGGATAACGCATTACTTCTTTACACTGTAAATGCTACACATGTGAATGCAATTGGTTCACATACAGAAACAAATGTCTCTTTAATAAAGCATACGGCCATAATATTCTGGAATCCGCAACTATAAACCGTTAACGAATTACATTCAATAAGGTTGTTATCATGGCGGTTCCGGGTAATTCATTTTGAGATTGTTTTGGTAATTGCTATTCCATTTTAATAGAATATAACTCACCAGCATTCCCACTGTAGCCTGTAACAGTTAGTTTATAGTTTGTAGAAGCATCACCTACAGAGAATGTTGCATATCTTGCAAAAGCTTTGTTACCATTAAAATCGGATATGTCTACTCTTAGTTCGTAGTGTCCCTGCTTAGTCATTGTATGTATCTTTTGGTTACCTAAAAAAGAATACCAAATGAGATTTAAGAATTGATTGCAACATATACGATGGACATCTTTTGAACTAAAAAGTAAGAAACATTACAACATAGTAAGGCTTGGTTCATATATTTGTTTTTGATTTTTTTAGTACAAATGCCATTAAACTTCTTCGAGTCCTTGATTTGGTCTTTCACCTTTTTTTATTTGAATGCCACTGATATATCTTATTTATTTTGGAAAGCACGTCTGGCAAACCGAACAATAAGCTTGGTCTTTGTTGATTTTTTTATACTTAAACAATACACGAAAACATCGTCGACAGACCGCAATCAACGACAATCACTGATTTGCAAATTCTCGGATAAGAACAGACACATAAAAATGTGTCGTGGTTGAACTGAGAGCACTTAACCCTCCCATCACCTAGGATAGTAGTATGAACGCATAATAAGACAAGCACAACATAAAAAGACAATCAATATAGCATGTAAAAAGGGCTTAGCTTATTATGTCGAAACTAAGCTAATAGCAACTAATAGAAAACGAAAGACACAAAGACCTCAGCCGAAAGTACTTCCAGCTATTGAATGCTAGTTTGAAGTACAATTTCAACTAATGAATAAACAATGCTTCACCAGACTATAATAGTATTACAATCATCAATCTTTTTTTCTTTTTAAGTTGAACATATTCCCTCACATGTTTTTACCTTTGATTGTCTACGTTTGATAAGTCCTTCTCGTTCTTGTAAGTGATTTTGACGCCATATATTTTTAATGGCGACTTACTCTTTAGTACACATATCATTTCTTATTTTTATGACATGTAGAACACCATCATTTCTAATGACATTTTTCGAAGTATTTTAGATTTTTTATCTAACGTCACTTACTACACATAAAATGAAGACTTTGAAGTAATTTAACTGGTGACATGTGCGCATCAAAACTATTATCGTTTTTGTCTTTTTGTGGCCGTTCATATATCCAAAGAATTATTTTCGTTTCTATTTTCATTGGGGTTGGCCTTATGTTAATCTTTAGAATTTCGATTTATAGATGTCCCTTTAGGTTAGAGGGTATTCGTTTACTACTTTTCTGTACAAAAAACGCCGACGTTCTCTTAAAGAATAGGACGCCATAAAAATGTTGTTGATGAAATTTAGTTAAAGCATGGCAATACGAATACAATAACTTGGTGATTCACTGACGTAAAATGCAACATTTGAAGAAGTTCGGAAATGGACGAATAACATCACTCCAAGATGTATACAAAGTGCTGATCCAGATGGTTAATTCTCACTGTCAGATGCGATTAATACTATTTATACTACTAAAATATTAAGGTCCAATGTGTTAGCCGGCATGACGGAAACAGGACGAATTAAAGAATTCAACTTTATGTAAAACTAAAATAGGACAATGGTGTTGAATAAAAATTACACCATTCCAGACCCTTTTGTTTTCCACAATTGTGTATGTCACATGTAGTTTCATATTACACCATTCCAGACCCTTTTGTTTTCCACAATTGTGTTTGTAACATGTAGTGTCCAGTTGTAGTAAGAAACCTTGACGGGTTCAAACAGAAAGATTTTGAAAGCAGAGAAAAGTGTGTACCTTATAATCAATATGACTTTATCAGATGACAATACGAATACTAAACATCCAGGCTAAAAATAAGGCGTAGGTACTTTCCAATTTATTAGCCGGCATGACGTAAAAACCACCAATAAAAGAATTCAACTTTATATATAACTAATATAGGACAGTGATGATGATTAAAAATTACACCATTCCAGGCCCTTTTGTTTTCCACATATATAATACTACTGATAATTAATAAGTTCCGGGTCGATTCCGATACCGATACCAATATTATATGTCACATGTAGTTTCCGGTTGTAGTAAGAAAACCTGGACGGGTTCAAACAGAAAGATTTTAAAAGCAGAGTAAACTGTGCACCTTATAATCAGCATGACTTTTTCATATGACAATACAAATACTAAACATCCAGGCTAAATATAAGGCGTAGGTACTTTCTAATTTGTTAGCCGACATGACGTAAAAACGACGAATCAAAGAATTTATCCGAATCATTCAAGCGTGAGTTGTAAGTCAAGTTAATTGCATGGGGCAGTTTTTCTGTCCAAGATATATACACTGATGAAGTTATATCGGAACATGATGTATTGTACCTTTGATATAAACCCAAACTTTTATTATTTTTAAAACGCTAAATCATGTCTGAAGATGTACATATAGTTCAAAGTGCGTTTTCTGATATTCGATGTATTCTCTAGATTATATGCCCGTATCCATGTAGTCAAACCTACACGGGGTTCGGATCTTTCCGTGTCCTGATTTGGACAACAGTTGTTATATTTCGTTTGTCACTTAAATTCGTGGATTAAGCCATCCACGAAAACCACGAAAATTGGTACCCCACGAATAAAAGTACTTTCACATTATGAACGTTTTCGTTAAAACTGAAATTTTTTTGATTTGAAGCTATAGATCATAATGGTCCAAGAAATATTGCACTCAAAGAAAAAAATAAACACATATTTTCACCGTTTATTAAGGTTGCTATAATTGAAATTAATATTACGGCAGATGTAATGTCTCTAACGTTCTGATCCTACAGAGTTGCTACCTAATACCAATATTTAAGCCAACATTTAATTATAAATACTGATGTTCAAACGATGTTATCTGGTAGATTTATAATACATTTTGATTTTTTATTCGAAGGGGAAAAAAAAGTGGCGTTATCATACCTTCTTTTACCCTACATATAGATCCGGATGATTTATTAGAGAAATAGAATTGAACATTTTTAACAAATGAATGCTATTTGTACGGAATTCATTGATGTGTTACCCTAGACTTTCACTCAGAAATTAAGGATTATCAATTCCTTCTGATTTATTTTGTTAGTGAGAGAGCAAATAATTTAGTGTACACAGCTAAAGACTAAGTAATATGAAACATGTAGTACTGCCATGCACATTAAAACTTATGATATAACTCATGCCAAGTCACAGCCCTTTAACCAATCAATCTTTGATCCCACCTTTCCTTTACAATCAACTGTTTAAAACTGATTGTTTTTGTTATACCACAAGGAATTAAGAGTTAATACTGTTTTAAATATGCAAAAATACTGAAATTTGAATATTTTTTTTTCTATATGAATGTATATTTGTATGATAATTGTATAATATCATAAGTGTTATTGTGCATGGCAGTACTACATGTTTCATATTACTTAGTCTTTAGCTGTGTACACTAAATTATTTGGAACACGTTACTGTATATCCGAATACGAATGTCGAAATTCTAAAATGATAAGTCATGCTTAGTTTTAAAAGATTGAAAACATATCTACCTAACCAATATTCCGCTTCCAAATCTCCAAATCCATTTTTATACGTTTCCCATTCTCTGTAAAAATCTGTCTTCCCGTTTAATCTTCTCTGAAACACCTAATAAAATATAACATTAGGAAAACAGTAAAATCGTCTTTTTAATATAATGTAGATGATTAACAAAGAACATGCGTGTCTCGAAACTGTTCTCAGAAGAATGAAACTGTTAGTAAGACAGTGCAGATTTAAGAAACATAATTTTTGTTGTTGGTGGTAAACATTTTTTTTACAATTTACAAAATCTGCAATATACAACTAAATAGCATTTATATTTGTAATCCCATTACACTTTTTTTGTCTATCAAAGGAGACATAACACATGGGTACACACATTTTTACCTGATTAACTTATTGCTACCCTGCATGTTCACTAAATACATTTAAAAGAATGATTGCATGCATTCGACGGCTAATGTTGTATAAATGTTTTCAATGTATATACTAAGTTAAATAATTTGGTTGCAGTTTTTTACAAAGAAGTCGTCAATGTTGCGAATGTGAAAAACAAACAAAAAAGGTCAATAAAATTTCCTACTTTTGTAATTATAAATAAAGATCATATATGTACATTTCTTCACTATTTCCTTATCTCATGACTAGTGTGTATTTTGATTTCGGTTTATATCAATATCTAGTAAACGTTATACGACAAGTATTCTTTTCATCTGACAACTATTCTTACCATTTATAACGTATTGAAAGTAGTATTGAGTTATAACAAACAATGACCGAATGTTTGTCGAAATGTCTTAAAATGTAGTTTGTATCATGCTATTTTCAAATATAAAATTCATTGAATATAATATATGTCACTGAGCTTGTTTTCAAATTGAAACATTTGGAGTGTGCGGAGAAGCCCGTTATTATATGAATAGCTTGAATGAATGAATTATTGATTGATTGATTGATTGGCGTAACATGCCGATTTTAGGCACTGTTGGCTATTTCGTGGCGGCCAATTTTTTTATTGGTGGAGGAAGTCGGAGTGCCCGGAAAGAACCTCCGACATTCGGTAGGAAAACTGACAATCTTAGTCAATTGAGATTGAAGTAGAACGCACCTGACACATGCGGGACTCGAACTCACAACCCCAGTGGTAACAGGCTAATGATATAAAAGATGATATACTTAGACCACTTGGCCACCTCTCATTATAGTTCACTATTCAATAACAATAGATGCAGAAATATATAAAAAAAAAATATTTTAGTTACAGCATTATGTTCTTTAATACCTTGAGCTAATGTGAATGTATATTGTGAAAAATGATCCAATATTCTACATGAATATATCATTGTTCATGTATAGGTATACCTCCCAAAAACCCAAATCGTTTCAGGTTAAAAAATATATAAATTATATTGACTTTAGCTTATAAATGATATCACAAATGTCTTATCAAACGTTTTAATCGTCAACAAAGGAACTAACTCATAAATAGGTGATTGGAACTGCTTCGACAGAAATTTTATAGATCGAAATGGCACAAATAAGACACAAACCAGTTTATACAATGCCTCATCACATTATTCAAATTCAGTATAATTATGGTTCCGAGAAAACTTCTTTGTAGCAATAAATAGCCAATTTGCCAATTATCGAATGGATTTGATTTTGTTATTATGCACGTTTCACACGAGTTGTTTTCCTTTGCCAATTATAGACTGGCTTAAAGCGGACAAAATTGGCAAATGTCGTGTTTAATGTACAACATGCCTTTAACTGATTTGTCCATGCAAAGGTATACAAACTTGCATTACCTTTATTGTTGCTTTAGAAAATAACTCAAATCGGGATCAGCTTTCATATTCACTAAATACATACAATGTATATTCTCGTTTCGATATGTTATTGCCACCGGATGTAATATATCATCATAATTTAACTAAATATATATCTCTATTTAATTTGAAAAAAAATCTCAATAGAATTGATTACCGTCCATCCGCCGTTGTCGGTTTCAAAGTCACAATACACTTCAAACCCAGGCTCTAAATTTTTGGGATATATCTTATAGATTCCGTTTCCTTTATGTAATTTGACATCTTTGCAATCAATTGGACGTTGATTGGGCTCTTCTGTTTTTTCTGGAAATAAAAGCAATAATTTTATAAGAGTTTTTTTTTCACTTTCGAAAAATATCAACTATCTACTTTCATCCCGGTACATATTGATAAAAAAGTTGCTGTCAGTATAGTCGCGAAACGACCGTACCCCTCAGACATTTTGAACAAGGACAACCTCGGGTATAAGTGTTCGGAATATCAACATAATTTACCTTACTTAGTAATTTTAAGAATTGATCTGATTAGAGTGTAATTCAAAAATTGATCATTAACCAAGTCAATGATAGTACATTTAGTAACAATCCTATACTTATATGTTTAAGAGGACAAAACTATTTATATTTTTTGTAATTAGCTGACGTTACGTTGAAAAATTAAAGAATTGTATTACAATACAACGCCATACAGTTTTAAAAACCAGAGTTAACATAGAAGATAAGATTACATTTGCATTATGACATGCTTCTATTTCGTCGTACAGTTGTTTTATGCTATTATTCCTAAAGACAGTCATTAATGTCGATTTACGTTAATCTTTATCCGGGATATTAACCAATAAAACCATTCATTTGAATGTTTTCGTAACCGGAAATATATTATTCTACAATTTAGTACTTATCAACATCTATAATGGTATTGTTTCAAGTCGCACAACAAATCTACTGAGTTAAACCATTTTCAACTGTTTTTTTTTTTACATTTTGTTCCTGTGTTGTGCTGTTTCATCACTGTCCTAGGTAAGGAGAGGGTTGAGCGCTCACAAACATGTTCATAACTGTGTTTAAAGTTATTGCTAATGGCTGATATTTTTGTTCGAGCATATTGTTTTTCTTAAATTGTTTAACATTTCATACCGATATAACATGTTACTTTTATTATTATTCCCTTAGTTTATTTATTTTGTATTTACATTGTATCATAGGTCAAATTTATTTGTTCAGTGTTTGTTCACTGGTGTTAATATGTCCTTTGATTGAGTAAAGCTATTTCAGGTGATATTTTATAGTGTGTCTTTCTATGTTGTGATGTTACACTTTTGTTTCGGAAAAAGGGTGAAGGTTTGGTACCATTAAAACGTTTTAACCCGCTGCATTTGTTTGCACCTGTCCTAAGTCAGGAATCTGATGTTCAGTAGTTGTCGTTTGTTGATGTGGTTCATAAGTGATTCTCGTTTCTCGTTTTTTATATAGATTAGACCGTTGGTTTTCCCGTTTGAATGGTGTTACACTAGTAATTTTTAGGGCCCTTATAGCTTTCTGTTCGATGTGAGCCAAGGCTCCGTGTTGAAGACCGTACTGTGACCTATAATGGTTTACTTTTATAAATTTTGACTTGGATGGAGAGTTGTCTCATTGGCACTCATACCACATCTTCTTATATCTATCATCCCCACCACATTCTGTATGTACCTGTCCAAAGTCTGTTTTGGTCATTGTTGTGGCATAAATTAAACCATTGGTTTCCTCGCTTTATTTGGTTCACCTTTTTTTCGTATTAGGGCCCGTTATAGCTGAATATAAGGTTTGGATTTTGCTCATTGTTGAAGGCTAATGGTGATATCTACGTCATTTAGACTTTTGTGGATAGTTCTTTCGTTTGTATCACACCACTTCTCCTATGAAGTTTGCCTGATGTGAATAAACATAGGTCGCCGAGAATAGATGCACAGTTTTTTTTCAATAGAATACTGGTTGATTGTTTAACAACGCATTAACTAACCCTAGCAAATATGTTGCCAGTTTTAGAGATAATTTTATTTGATACAGAATATATTTTTTGAAATTATGATTGATGGCTTCTTAAAACAAAATGTTTGTATCTTTTCATCATTGAGCAAATTTTAACTACAAATTCTTATCTGAGTAAGGACATTACATTACGGTTTCAACTGCAAAAACCCATAATTTATCTTAGAGGTTTTCAGATTTTTTTATTTTTTTTGAGGGGGCGGTCTTTTCTTTTCTTTTTTTTGTTGGTTTTTCTTTCCAATTTTTTATTCTCCCATATGATTTATGCGATTGACTTCGATTTTTTGTCCCGATCCTTCTTGATTAGTCTAATAAGCACAATAAATTCGAAAATGCCTTATGTAACCGATTTATGATTATACGTGGAGTTACCAAACGAAGGATACGATACCAAAGGTGCAATTTAGACAAACATATATAAGTAGTTTAAAACTTACATGTACTTTTAAAAAAAAATATTTATCATGCATATTCTTTGTTCAAATCAATGTTTCCAATATACCTGAATTTTTCATTGGCAGTCCAAATTGCTTCCGTAACACTATATCTCTAAGTTGTATTAAATTGTTAATTTAATATCAATTAAGAATATGCATGAAATATTTTCCACTGGAAATTAAGCAAGCAAACACCGATCAATCAACTGAATGCTGAATGTAGTGTTAAATAAATAATTTGTATGACATGTTTAATGGCATGAGGTTTAGGGTTCATAAATATCCGAAGATGGAGAAATTACATGTGACAGGGTAATTATTCTATTTTTATATTAACCCCCTTTCTTCATTTTGAAACAAGCATGAAAAATGAAATATTGATTGGCCATTGTCGGTCATTCGCACATATTTATCAAAATTTACCACCGCATAGAATTTTGACGAACTTTTGCACCTTTCCAAATGATTTGTGTGTACGTTGTGCTATCTGCAACTCCTTTTGTTTTTTATCCAAATCACTGTGAGGTTTCCCGTAAAAAATAAAAATAAACTCTCGCATAGGCGAGTACCAATTTTGGATCCACATTTCTTCCTCAACCCTTTTAACAATGATTCATTAAAAATTTCTCAGAATTTTAATCATATACTGACATGATGCACATCATATTATGTTTAAAGATTCAAATAATTGTTATTATGATAATTCACATCCTATTTTATTTCTTTAATGAATTATTCCTTTGTTTTCTTTATAATATCTTGGACATTGCTTTGGACGACCCGTTTTGATATCACTTGTGAGCTTAACTCGCTGGACCTGGATACTACACATCTCTTTTTATTCATATAAAATGTAAGTGTGTCCTATGATTTGGACGCGTGTACTTGAGTGTTCAGTGAGTGTGAATGAACTGTGACCTTTAATCGACACAACAAAATGTAATAGAATGCTTTAGGGAAAAACACCTTGTTGATAAATGTATATTTCTTACCGTTTTCTTCAGCTATATTGCCCACCATTTCATTAATGTAATCAGTTAACTGGTCAGTCAAGTTCCTTTCAAAATTGGCAATTTGTGATTTCAAATTTACTTCCAGCTCTTTCATTTTTGCTTCAAATGCATCACTTATAAACAGCTTAGATTTCACAGTCTCCTCTATATTCTTCATTTTCGTTTCAAGTGCATCACTTACAAACTGCTTAGATTTCACAGTCTCTTCTATATTTTTCATTTTTGCTACAAGCGCATCACTTACAAACTGCTTAGATTTCACAGTCTCTTCTATATTTTTCATTTTTGCTTCAATAGCATCACTTACAAACTGCTTAACACGTTCGTTTGCTTTCGACATGTCCAAGGTGGCAATTAATGGAGCATTTTGATTATCAAGTAACCGAACCTGTACATCCTCATTAGAGTTCGATGTGGCCGTTGAAGCCAGCACAAGCAAAGTGAGTCCATAAATCAAAATGTTGAACATCATTATTTCTTCTTGGTTAAATAATTGCATGTGGCACGTATGACTGAATTCCCAGCATTGACAATGTCTAATTCTTAATATTACATTTCTTCTCAGATATTGTTGTAAGAATGCCAATTACTTTGTTTTTCATGTTTCATAGCATAATAAAAGCCATCTGCCTTTTTCAATAGAATGTCTACTTTCTCAGCGATAGATACTTGTGATATGCATGCAGTTTATGTTACGTTCTAACGTCGTAATTATGAGTCAGAAAAGTAAATTATTTATTAAAGTTTCCCTTTCCTCTTTCATGAATATTTGGAATTAAATGATGGTAATAATGATACTAAATACTTTATTTAAAGAGGGTAACATCAGTTAGTACAGTACTAATCTTCCCTGAGGCCCTCTGAATAACTCAAAATATAATATGATATATACATATACATTAATCTAACTGTATAAACAAATAGAAAAAACCTAAAAATTAGGTATTGCGTTTCATAAACATATTTCCTTAATGGTGTACAAGACATATATATGGATTTTAGACTACAGATAAATGCATGTGATAATTATTTAATTGGTTCACATGTTGTATATTAATCTGATAAATGTAATTAGCTATTTTTTCTAAAAACAAGAAATTATGATATATTTGTTTGAATTGTTCTATCTTTTTAATATTTTTTTCATTTCTACAGGAATTCTGTTCCAAAGAAAAGTACCGGAAAGTTGAAACGTCTTTTTCATAAATTTTCGTCGTGGACGTAGTATGAAAATACAATTATTGTCTGATATACGTAAAGAATATCTTGAATTGACAATTTGGTTATTCTTAAATAATCGACACAGATAATCAGGTGGATTACTATTGGCATATTTTTACATTAATTCTCCTTTGTGATATAAGATTTTTATTTTTGAAAAGTTAACCATCCTAATTGTTTGAATAAAGTTTTGAACTAAGTGAAATATGCTTTATTAAGAATTATCCTGATTGCCCTTTTTTTCTAATTTAAACAGGTTTTCCATATTTGAATCACTTGTGTTTGTCCATGTTGTACAGCAACAATCAAAGAGACGAAGTACATATCCGTTATAAAATAAACATAAACCTTTTTGTAGAATAAAATGCTTCAATCGATTAAGAAAAACCGATTCTAGTTGAAATTACAGTACATACCTTGTTTATCCGTTGATTGCACGAAAGACAATCATCGATTACAATGCCTAGTAATTTTCACTGATAACATTTTGTAAAAAAAATCCTTTGTATTCTATCCTTATGTTTGTTGTTAGCTTTGAAGCTTTTTATTGATCCAACTAACATACATTTGGATTTTTTAGATTTAAAATCATATCAATATTTTCACACCATATTTCAAAAGTTCACATCTCGTCATTAAGCTTGTGTGTGTATGACATATATAATATTAACTGAATTTGAGGAATATTTAAGTGTTATGTCATCCGCATACAAACCAGGCTTTGTATGATCATTTGAAATTGAATATCAATAATATATAAAATAAATAATAGAGGGCCTACAAGACTGCCCAGCGGTACACAAAATTTTACTTCTTTCCCTGAAGATATATGTTTGTATATTTTTAGTTTTGAGGCCTGGGTAATAAATATGATTTAAACCAGTTAAAAGAAAGAGTATCAAACTTATATATAGATTTCCAATTTTGATAATAAAATTGCGTGATTTACCTTATCAAAAGCTATTTCAAAATCTAAGAATACAACTCCAGTGTAAATTTCTTGGTCCATGTTAATTAACAGTTCTTCCACAATTTTCGTAGAGCTGACTGACAAAAACGGCCGTGTTGAAACACAGACTAGTACTTATAAATCCAATCAAAATCTTTCAAATATTTGTTTTTTTGAGAATAAATAATCGTTTTAAAAAATCTTTGATAAAATTGGAAGAACATATATTCGTCTATAGTTGTTCATATCTTTTACGTCGTCACTGTTATGGATTAGTGATACTCTTGCACATTTAAAGGTCGGTTTAAATATATCTGCGCAAAGACTCAAATTAAAAATATACGCAACAGATTCAAAAATTATTCGAGCACATACTTTAAGAATTTTAGGATTAACATCATCAAAATCTTTAGATTTATTAATTTTAATTTTTGATAGTCCACCAACAACTTTTATTAGAGATAAACAATAACATTTAAAATAGTCGCTAACTTTTCTTTCTATAAACTCTTTTAACATATGTGATTAGAAAATTGATTTTGGGTTAGAAATACCGGTAATTGATTCAGCTACAGTACAAAAAGGCTCAAGTGTTCACAAACTTGTATCCTCAGATCATTCAAAAGTAACAGTTACTATTGTGCATTTTGACTCTGCATTTAAAGCTTTGAGATGTTTCCAGATTTTAATAGCATTTGAATGAGAATTACAGCCTTGGAGAAATATTCAGTCTTACATGTATTGATATGGGCGGATAGCTTGTTTCTATATAACGTGCAGTTTTTAAAAATCATTCTTTTTATGATAAAAGTTTCACTTAGCACGCAGTTGATTTATATAAAATTGAGAATGGAAATTGGGAATGTGTCAAAGAGACAACAACCCGACCAAAGAGCAGAAAACAGCCGAAGGCCACCAATGGGTCTTCAACACAGCGAGAAAATCCCGCACCAGGAGGCGGGCTTTAGATGGCTCCTAAACAAAAATGTGTGCTAGTTCAGTGAAAAAATCATACAAGACTAACAAAGGCCAGAGGCTCCTGACTTGGGACAGGCGCAAAAATGCGGCGGAGTTAAACATGTTTATTGAGATCTTAACCCTCCTCCTATTCCTCTAGCCAATGTAGAAAAAACAAACACACAGCAATACGCACAGTAAAAGTAAGTTTAAAAGAAGTCATAGTCCGATGTCAGAATAGGTAACAAAAGAAACTAAGCAAAATGACAATGATATATAAATTAACAAAGGACTACTAGCAAGTACTGACATGTTAGCTCCAGATTTCAATTAAACTGATTGAAAGATTGTGTCTTCATCATATTAAAATCAAGCACAATCACTCCCGTCATGGGTTTAGTATCAAACCATCAAAAAATATATGAGAAGAACATAACCCGTATCATGCCAACAACTGGTTTGAGAATAAATGTGTTTATTTCCGATGCAAAGACCCTTTGAGTGAATCAATATTAATACCAAAATATGCCATCTTTAAATGACCTGACAACAGTATCGTAGCTACATCCCTTCTTATTAAGTCTGTGTAAAGATTTGGTTAGCTTTTGAGGTGAATGCCGACATTTTTGTGCTTTGTAAAGATTATTACATTATTATCGAAAACTATACTGATTTATAAAAGATTGGATGTGAAATACCTGAACGTATAAAATGTCTGCATGTTGAATTATATTTACGAATGATGTCCTTGTACCGCTGATAAAATTTAGTAAATGTTTTGGCTAGTTTGTGATATTGAAAACTATCCTGATTTAACAAATTCGGCTGAGACTTTTTCTTTACACTTTTCTTTATTATAGGGGCATGTTTATTTAAAACTATTGATGATTCAGAGTACTATGCATCCAATGCATGATCAGAATCATCAAAACAAAGTATTTCATTAAAAAGTTTAGCCTATAAATCTTCTATATATTTTTCTTGATTAAATATATTGAAGTCCCAATATCTAATTGTGATCTGTTTATCTCGATCTGATGAGTTATGACTTTTTAACTGGTTTTTATAGTTTGTTCTTATGTTGTTCTGTTACACCACTGTCCCAGGTTAGGGGGAGGGGATTGTTGGCGCGCAAGCAAACATGTTTAACCCCGCCACATTCTGTATGTGCCTGTCTCAAGTCAGGAGCCTGTAATTCAGTGGTTGTCGTTTGTTGCTATATATCATATTTGTTTTTCGTTCATTGTTTAGTATATACATCAGGCCGTTAGTTATCTGGTCTGAATTGTTTTACTTTTTCATGTCGGGGCCTTTTATAGCTGACTATGCGGAATGGGTTTGCTCATTGTTGAAGGCTGTACGGTGACCTATAGTTGCTAACTTCTATGTCATTTGGTCTCTTGTGGAGAGTTGTCTCATTGGCAATCATACCACATCTTCTTTTCTTTATATTATCTACTGGTGTTTGAATAACAGGTGTTTTAATAGTAAAATTTACAGGGTAATGATCTCCTGGAACTTTTCATCTGTATTTTCTCGGGATTTGTAAAATACAAATGACCTATAAGTGTGACACTGTCTTTTGTAACCCTCGCTGGTTCATTGAATTATTGAAAAACATTATAAACCGACAGAATACATTTCCATTTCTTGTGTAAAGTCTGCAGAAAATCTATAACAAAATCACCGGCTGAAAGTATAATGTAATTATAAAAACAAGCCTTTTCTATTCTATTTTCAAAGAAGTTATACCAAGAAGTAATACTATTTGGAGGTCTATACATAAATGATATGCCTTTTGAAATTCTCAAACCACGTAAAATTTTCAGAAACACATTAACGTCGTATAATGTATTTTATACTGTCGGAAAAACAAACAGTCCAAACACCAACTTTTATTTGTGTTCTGGACTTTTCTTTCAAATGTAAAACCTTAAATATCTAGCTCTTTTGACGTGAAGAGATATTTTCGGATGATAGAAATGTTGCATACATACCTAGTACGTGTGGTTATACCTAATCTTTAATTTTTGCAAAATTGTATTTCATTTCATTTAATTTTGGCAGTAAATGTTGAATATTTAGAAACGGTTTTTTTATACCTTTCATTTTCTGATGATCATTAATTTTATTTGTATTACCAGTTTCCTGTAACTGTGTTCTACTTTTTTTCTAAATAACACTCAGTATCAGTAATAACCTCTTTTGTATCATTAAAAATTATATTAATAGAAGAAAAAAATGACAAATCTTCAGGTGATAAACACTTATCCAAATTTGTACAGTTAACGTTACTTAACTTACAAGTATTATTTACATTTCTTTCATTTGTTACATTGACTATGATAAAAGTTCCTAGTAAATCTAAGTTTGAACCACATAAGCATACTGCAAACTCATTTTACACATTAAATATACATGTAGGCTAGACATTAAAACACTAAACTTGTTTTGCAAACAATTTGAATCCCTAAGTTTCATACACATAATTAAAATATACAGGACCATTTAGTTGCCTGTAACATGGAGTGTATGTGGTGTAGGATTTTT